CTCATACAAGTGAATGCATTTACATATTTCAAAACCAGTTTATCTTGGAAGATTCCCTAGAAAGTTATTTTGTTTAAAGTTAGATGTTTTGAAATCTCTTATGTCTGAATTGGACATTTCATAAGCCCCATGTTTACAATCGCGTAAAATTATAAGGGTGGTCTAAGACCCTTGACCCTGCCAATAGGAATGTCCTAGGCTTACCTCACTAGGGAGGGGGGCTGCCTTTTATTTAGGCCTGGGTCCTTGAAAAGATCCTGCGCCTTCATTAGAGTTCATCAGGCTGCCCCAGCCCAGTGGACAGTCGAAAGCACACAGCTCTGTCCTTAATGAGCTTCATAAAATCGTCACTTCCCAAATAATTGACTTCCAACTCACTGCCACTCAGTCATTATCAAGAGCGCAGTATTTGTGGAAGAGCGTCTGAAGGCTACAGCACCCATTCTATCCTCCTGGTATTCTAAGTGACATCCCTGAGTTAGGCCACATCATCAGAGAATGAAAGGACCATGCTGATTCGGCCCTCAAAGAATTGCTTTTATTGAACTTCACTTTGGCATCCAGCCCACTTTCCTATCCTATGGGACTTAAGGAAAAGCCCATGCAATCCAGTATTGTCTTTGATCTGATGATAGGGCTAGGGGCCTTATCCAGCATGCCTTCATTGTTAGGACGAGCAGTGTAACTCTCCTGAGGGGCTGGTCTGTGTTTCCTCCATGGTTCCTGTGGTTCATGTCACTGACACGCCTTCCCACTTGTCTGGGCAGCTCAGAACCAAACTGAGTGGTTGAGATTCTTGTACAACAGTGTGTGGCTCAGATCCAGGCATCATCAGACTACCTTCTCACCTGTAGCTTCTCTGCCTGCCATCCACCTCAGATCTGAACTGATGGCCTGGACCAAGGGGGTCATCTCAGTGGCCCTGGAGGCAGAGTTATGAGGAATCACATGGGTCTAAGCTTACAAATTCAGCCTTGTTCACCTGGTGAGTTACCCACCAAGCAAATCAGCCATGGGCTTTCAGGCATGGAGGAAGTGGAGGGGGAGATAGGGAAATCTGCCATGGTTAAGTCCCTCAATACAGCAGGAATTATGTATATGTTATTTATCCTCAAAACAACTCGGAGAGTTGGCAATTATCATCTGCATTATCCAGATGAGGAACGTGAGCGTCAGAGAAACCGTGACTCCCCTAGAAATTGCACAGTTGATTGGCAGCAAAGCCAGGAGGCAAACTTGAGAGTCTAATTCTGAAGTCCATGTTCTTTCCTCTAACCTAGGATTGGCAAGCCAGGACCCATAGACCCAACCCAGCCTGCCCCCTGTTTTCGTAAATAAAGCCTGATTGTAGCACAGCCACACCCACTCGTTTACATATTGTCTGTGGCTGCCTGCACACGGCAATAGCAGAGTTGAGTAGCAGCCGGCTGCAGAGACCACGTGACCTAGCATCTTCACTATACATTCCTTTACAGAGGACGTTTGCTGACCATTGCTTGAAGCAAAGCGCTCTAGACAAATGACCCTTCTGTCTTAAAGAAGAGTCATCAGAATCACCTGTGGGGGGGCCGGGTGTTCTTAGAAATGCAGATTTCCAGGCCCCCTCATGCCTCCCAAGTTAGACATCTCCAGGTTGGAAGTCTGAATCTGCACTTTTAACACACACTCCCCTCCCCCACACCACCACCACCGCCACCAAGTGCTTCTGACAGCCCCTGAAGTTCAGGAACTACAGCCCAGCCCAGGGACTTAATGTCCCCAACAGCCCTTGACCTGACTGTAGGTTTGCAAACTTGGGAGCTTCCAGGGTGAAATCTGCAACTAGTCCTTGTACAAAGAGGGTAAGGAGAGACCTCCCCAGACTGGCAGGTGGCAAGGCAACTTATATACGAGGCTTGTCTTGGGCGCTGCAAGATGGTGGATCTCCTTCCCCACCCACTAGAATCTTAAAGCTTATGTCGAGGCCTTAGCGGGGCTCAGTCACACACCACCATCCAGATGATCTAAACACACACTACTCTCTCAAGGCTGTGTCCTTGGAACAGCTCCCATTGTGGGAACAGTGGGCAGAACGCACATTCCAAGGACAGGGGAGGGGTGAGGAGCCTCTAATTGCCCGGGTCCAGCTCAAGGGTCAACCTACAGTCATGTCCTCTCAGGGACCTTCTCCAATACTGATGGGCATTAAGAGATAACTACCCCAGCTCCCTTGTTCCTTGGGGGAGGGAGAGCAACAATGAGGCTTGTTCTGCACTGGCTCCCAGAGACCCCAGCAGGGCCGAGCCCCAGCTGCCCACAGTGGTAATTTTCTCAACCCTGCACCCTTTACTGCCATCTTTCCCCCCACCCCCTGTCTCGCTTTCCCTCCCCTACTGGTGCTTCTGGGATCACTTCCTAAACACAGTCCTTGGCCTCGAATCCTCTCAGGCTCTGCTCCTGGGAGGCCCCCTCAAAAGAGACAAGAGCCAGAGACAGTGAGATAATTATGAATCTTGGTTAGATTTTAAAATGCCACAGATACAAGTAATAATCGTCGCATTCCCACCAGGGATCACATTCTGTGTTTGCCCCAGAAAGGGCACAGGGTAGGAAAGAGTGAGGGGCAGGATGAGGAACCAAGCTGCAGAAACGAGTGAGATATGGTCCCCACCTCACACAGAGTTGACAATTTAGTTGGGGCCAGGGGAGCTGACCTACGATAACACAGAGAAACAGAGAAAGCAGGAAACAGAAGATGCATTAAGCCAGCCTTACGTCTCTAGATTAGACCCTTGCATTTTCCACTAGGAGCAGGGGCCACCAGCAGCCACTGCTCCTGAAGTGGAGGTCCTCCAAGCCTCCTGGGTCTGAAGGCAGCAAAGTCTATAAGATGTTTCCACAGGTCATTATTATGTTTCACCTTCAAAAGAGCCTTATAGGGGCTTCCCTGGTGGCGCAGTGGTTGGGAGTCCGCCTGCCGAGGCAGCGGACACGGGTTCGTGCCCCGGTCCAGGAAGATCCCACATGCCACGGAGCGGCTGGGCCCGTGATACGTGGCTGCTGAGCCTGCGCGTCCAGAGCCTGTGCTCCGCAACGGGAGAGGCCACAACAGTGAGAGGCCCGCGTACCGCAAAAAAAATAAATAAAAGAGCCTTATTGGTAAATGGGAATAGTATTATCGTTGTTCATGCCATTTTTCATGTCAGGGAAACATGAGAGGTCCAAACGTGTACAAGTCAGAGCACAACTAGCTCACAAGTCCTGCTGCTGCTCTGTGTTGCCGCAGACTTAGCTAAGGGTTGAAGTCAGCCAGGACCCCATGCTTCTAGGAGTCTTCTTGGCTAAGCTAAACTGTTGATTTCTGCTGAGGGAATACATAAGACACCACCCTGGCCCCAGCCAGCTCTGAACCCCGGGGAGGGGCACATCTCCAGGAGGAAGGGTTCCTGGCGGCTCAAGTCTGAGCCCAGCTGAGACTGGAGACTCAGTCTCCACCTCAGGAAGAGGGATTTTCCCAGCTCATCTCCTAACCCCACCTACCAAAGCTCGTGTTTTCTACCTCTTTACCTGCACACCCCCAGTCTGGCCTGGCCCCTCTACTCCCAGCAGGACACCTCCTGCCCCCAGGGAACCAGAGTGATAGCAGAATTCTGGTTTCCATATCAACACCGCCAGGTTCACAAGGCAACGAGGGCCTGCCTTTTCACTCAGCTCAGTGTAACTGTCGGTAGCCACGGTAATTTCAAGTCAGCCTATGAGGTGAATTTGCCTGCTGCTTTCTCTGCACAGAAGCCCCCAGCATGGAAGAAAGGTGAGTCATCAGCCCAAACCACCCCATTAAGCCAGGTTCAAATCCAGTGGTCCTGAGTTTTCCCACTCACACCTGAGGAGGCCCATTAAATGGTTCATCATCTAAAAATCAATCCACGATCTCTGCGTATCTCATGGGCAGCGTCGGAGGGTGCAGGTAACTTCCAGCCTTAGCCAGCATGTGCTGATACTCCAGTAAGGGCTGGGGCTCCCCAAGTCCTCTCTCCCCACCCTGCCCCCAGGTTAAAGGGGGGTGGGCAGGAAGGGGAGACACAGGCACCAGCTCCAAGGAGGGAGCCAGGCAGTTAGACCTGTATGGGTGGCTGGTTATCAGGAAACACTGGTCCTTGTGTCCAACTTCCAGTTCAGAGGGAGTTTTGTTTTGTTTTGTTTTGTTTTTTCGCGGTACGCGGGCCTCTCACTGTTGCAGCCTCTCCCGTTGCGGAGCACAGGCTCCGGACGCGCAGGCCCAGCGGCCATGGCTCATGGGCCCAGCCGCTCCACGGCATGTGGGATCCTCCCGGACCGGGGCACGAACGCGCGTCCCCTGCATCAGCAGGCGGACTCTCAACCACTGCGCCACCAGGGGAGCCCCAGAGGGAGTTTTGACAGCCTCCTTGGTACCTATCAGAGCCGCGTCCTGAGAGGCAAGAGTGGTCTTCCCAACAGGAGTACCCTGCCCTCCCCAAGCCTTCAAACACTTGCTCCAAGGTCTGCCTTATAATGAGATCTTATTCACTGCCAGAGTCTCAATTAAAAGACCCCTCATCTCTGATGCTGGCCCTGCTTGGGGGCTCCGGAGACACTGGCTGCTCTACTGCTCCGCAGCTAAAGTCTGGGATGCCTGCCAGTGTGATCCTCTGAAGGAGGGTGGCTGGTGCAGATTCCTGCCCATGTTCAGGTGAGTGCATGCTCACGGGTGGACGGGTCAGTTACTGGCAGCCAAGGTTAGGGGAGGGCTTTCAGCATAATTTTTAATCCATTGCATTTGGACAACATATTGAAACGTTTACTATGTGGATGGCACATTCCAACATCCTTATTAGAACAAGTGGACCAACAAAGGAGCAAGAGAGCAACTGCCAGCATTGAATTGAATTGAGCACTTTCTACATATTGTATTATCTAATCCTAACCACCACCCTATGAAGTAGACTATTTTTTACAGGTAAGGAAATAAGGTTCAGAAGAGGGAAGTGACTCACCCAGGGTCACACAGCCAGGAAGCAGTGCTGCTGGAATTTGAACCCAGAACTCTGCGACTCCAAATCCCGTCTTGGTAATACTGTTCCATGCTGCCTAAACCTGGAAGAGAAAGTTAAAAGGCAATTTTAAAGGCAGCAGTCCACACGCAACCACCCTGCACAGGGGATTGGTCAGATTAAAGAGTCTCTCGCATTAAAGGAGATGGGGACAGGGAAAGATGGGAAGTTTGCAGTAAAAAGTGAACCATAGGGCTTCCCTGGTGGCGCAGTGGTTGAGAGTCCGCCTGCCAATGCAGGGGACACGTGTTCGTGCCCCGGTCCGGGAAGATCCCACGTGCCGCGGAGCGGCTGGGCCCGTGAGCCATGGCCGCTGAGCCTGCGCGTCTGGAGCCTGTGCTCCGCAACGCGAGAGGCCCACGTACCGCAAAAAAAAAAAAAAAAAAAGTTAACCAGAGCCACCTGAAAACCTCAGTGTCACTAAGATGGGATTTCTCTAATCAGAATAAGGGTGCAGACAGGAAAAGTCCAGGATGAGGAGTGACAGTAGTAGGCTGTGATTTCACCTGTCGAATTCAAGCTATCGGTGTAATTAATTTTTGTTGGTCCAGAGCCTCGGGAGTTTCGCAGGTGAAATCTGAAACCCGTCCGCATTCAACGGCAGACCGCAGAAGGAGGTGGCCACTCCAGACTGGCAGGAAGCAGATTTAATAAGCAAGGAAACTTACTTAGGAGCCTTGTCTCCAGCGCGGCAAGATCTCTGAACCCGCCCATCAGAATCTTAAATGTTTAAATAGAGGCCTTAATGGGGTTCAGCCACGTACACCGTCCAGATGGTCTCAACACCTTACTCTCTCAGGGCTGCATCCTTGAAAATGGCTCCCACAGTGGGAATGGCTGGCGGAACTTACATTCCAAGGACGGAGGGGGGAGGGGGGAGGGGGAGGAGCCTCTGATTGCCCTGGTCCAGATCACAAGTCAACCTGCGGTCATGTCCTCTTCCTGACCTCCTCCAACACATGGAACTCTCCATCTGCCCACGACTGTTATGTGAGTGAAAAGTAAACACCTGGCAGTACCAGCGAGGGAGTCTGGAGTCAGGGTGCTCACTTAGCCTGCATGACCACTGAGAAATTGGGGTCTGGGCTCACGCCATGCCTGTTGGAACTGGGGCGGCAGGGGACAGTGCTGGAGAGCGGTTGTCCAGCAAGGCCACAGTGAAATGGGGGGAGGACACAGCCCATAAAGGTGACATGTGTAGGAATCAAGGCAGAGGAGCTGGTCTGTATAATCAGGAGACTGGTTGCACACAGGGGAGATGGGAAAAGAACTGACCAGATTGGGCATAAGGCAAGCCAGGTTTCTCGCTGTCAGAGAAGGAACATACAAATATGGAAAGGAGGGAGGCTAGGAACTAGATTGGAACTGGAGATGTCACCATGAACTCACAATGCTTAATGTCTACAAATGAATGTATGACCAGAGTTTAATCGTGAAGAAACAACAAACGGAATAATCTGAGAAACATTCTAGAAAGTATAATCTGAGTAACATTCTAGAAAGTATCTGGCCTGTGCTCCTTACAAATGTCAAAGGTATGAAAGACAAAGATATGAAAGACAAAAAACTGAGGGACTATTCCAGACTGAAGTGGACTAAAGAGATGTGACAACTAAATGCAATGCAGGATCCTGGACCAGAAACACAAGGGTGTTTATAAAGGATGTTTATTGAGGTAATTGGCAAGATTTGAATGAATCTGTGGATTGCATAGTATTACTGTATCAATGTTAATGTCATTGTTTTTATATTTCTACTGGGGTCAGGTAAAATAGTCTTTGTTTGGGGAAAATACACACTGAAGTATTGCAATATTTAGAAGTAATTAGCCATGCTATCTGCGCTTACTCTCAAATGGTTCAGAAAAGTATACAGAGAGACACAGAGAAAAAGAATAAGGCAAATATGATAAAATAGTAACAACCGGAGAATCAGATTAAGAGTATACAGAAATCCTTTGTTCAATTCTTGTGACTTTTCTATAAATTTTAAATTATATATTAAAAATTTGTAGAGACATTTTATTGTGTTCATTACTGCAGTCTAGCCTACACTAGCTAATATAGTATGTAACTTTTCTAATAGGAGTTACAGTGTATCACTAACATAATAAATATTTATTGAGAGCCCTCTGTGTGCTAGGCACTGTGCAAGGGATATAGAACTAAAGAAGACAGGCATGGTCCCTGCCCTCCTGGAGCTTCCAGTGAGATAAGGTAGATATTAAACAAATTATATAATTTGTATCGCAGTTATGGTAAGTGTTGGGAGAAGGCTTTACAACAGGGTGATCTAATCTCATCTGGGAGTGTCAGGGAAGTTTTCTCCAAAGAAATGGTGTTTAACAATTAAAGGAAGTTATCCCAGGTAAAAGACATTGACTGCAGTTGAAATAGGAGTGCTTAAGTGTTCAATATCCTATCATGATATTTGCAAGGTCCTGGACCTCCCCAAATGAAACTATTATTTTCTCGTGAAAATGTTAAGAAAATGTCAGTGCTTACTCTGAGTCCACCCAAAGATTGTCCTTGATATTGGAATAATTTTAAACTCCCTGATTCTATCCTCGCCACATTATAATGTATTATTTATACTGCAACCAGAGAATTCTTTTGAAAACACTGATAAGACAATATCTCTCTCAGCTTCAAACCCTCCAAAGATTTTCCGTCTGTATCTGTTATCTATCGCCTCAATAATACTAGATAGCAAACAACCACAAAACCCCAGTGGGATATAACCACGAATATGAGAGGTCCTGCTGATTGGGTTGGGCTCAGCTGATCTTGATTGGGTTCAGGCAATATACCCAAGGGGTCAGCTGCACGTTGTTAGATCCCTCAGCTGGGATATTGGATTGCCCCAGCCACTGCTCCATAGTTCCATCCTCCAGCAGGCTGGCCAAGGCAGAGGAGCAAGAGGGAGTAAGCCTAATCAGGCAAGTGTTTCTCAAGCCTGCACTTGAATTCTGTTTGCTAACATACCATTGTTGAAAGCAAGTGGCACGGCCAAGCCCAGAATCATATGGAAAGGCAGTGCTAATGATGCCAAAATCTTGGCTCTCTGTGCACCGGTGCTGAAAAGAAATAAGGAGACAGTTCTGGAGGAACGAGGAAAACGGCTTTAATCTTTGCCTGGCAAAGGGAGTAACACAGCAAGCTAGCATCTCAAGAACTGTGCGCCTCCCTTCCCTGGGGAATAGGGAAAAGTTATATAGCCTGGGTCTCGTGGTCTGGGGTAGGTATAAGGCTCAAATTAATGAAGGTCTTGCATTTCTTTCTTCTGAAAATTCATGGCCAAAGCTGGCATCAGGTGGCTCAGCAACTGGGTCTGATTTCCCTGAAGTTATCAGCCATGACCTTCTTTCTGAGATGAAGAGTGCTACAAGGGAGTATAGGGGGAGAAGAAATGCCAGGTGCAAAGGGTAATTCACATGGAGTCAGAGGGTAATCAGCTTTGTGAAGGACAAGTCTAGCTACAAGTGTTCCTTAGTAGTAACAGCCTAAGAATAATCAAGATTGCTTAACTCTTACAGGCCTGTTTGTTGTTTCCCCAGCCTGTTCACTGGTTCCTTATTTTTCTTGTTTATCAGAAAAGTCTCATTTCTGTTTTCGCTGCAACAGATTCCCCACTGCTAGTTCATTCCCTCCATATTAATGGAGGAAGGGAAATGGGCATCGTTCTTGTCTAGCTAAGGACAAAACTTCAGTTTTGCTCCATTTGACAAACACAAGCTCTCTGGCCCAGGGGCCCATCTATCTCCTACTTCACTAAGTTACATGACAACAGTCACGCATATAAGGAGGAGTGAAGAACTGGGGTCATAGCATCTCACATAGAACAAAATCCAAGTGCCTCACCAAAGCCTACATGATCTGGCCCTCCTGACCTCAGATGTCATCTTGCTTTATTGATTGCTAATTTTCAGTGTTTAGCATAGAGCCTGGCACATAATAAGTGTTCAATAAATGTTTCTTCACTGAATGAATGAATGAACGAATGAACATTGTGTTCTTCCCTTGGCATGTGCTGATTCATTGGGCATTAACTTGTCTCTAAAAAATTCAACATGGTTGTTTTCTTCACTTCTTTTTAGTTTCAGTGTATATCATAGATATCATTATGAATTGGGCTTTATTTTAAGGTACTAATTTGATATCTACCCCATAAAGCTTCTGCAAAGGTGATAGCATGCTGGTGCCTCCTTGCAGTAAATACTTTAGGATTAGAGAAGGAAGAGGACTCAGCTTGTAGACAAATCAGAAAAAGGATTAGATTTCCTCAAACCATTGTTACTGCAATACCTCTGACAGAATGACTGAGTTAGGAGCTTGTTATCTCCTGGGATGTTCTGGGCCTGTAGTCTAAGTTTTGGGAGCCTTGCACAGTTGAATGGTTTTGGTAAATCCTGTACTCCAACTTGTTTCTTCTGGGAGAATGTTAAAGAGTTACTATGGATTCTAAAGCCCAGGCTGGGGGACTTCCCTGGTGGTGTAGTGGTTAAGAATCCACCTGCCAACGCAGGGGACATGGGTTCGAGCCCTGGTCCGGGAAGATCCCACATTCCGCGGAGCAACTAAGCCCGTGCACCGCAACTACTGAGCCTGCGATCTAGAGCCCACAAGCCACAACTACTGAGCCCACGTGCCACAACTACTGAAGCCCGCACACCTAAAGCCCATGCTCCACAACAAGAGAAGCCACCGCAGTGAGAAGCCACCGCAGTGAGAAGCCCGCGCACCGCAACAAAGTGTAGCCCCCTCTTGCCACAACTAGAGGAAGCCCACGCACAGCAACAAAGACCCAACGCGGCCAAAAATAAATAATTTTTTTAAAAAATAAAATTTTTAAAATAAAAATAAAGGCCAGACTGTCACTTCCACATCTGGGTTTGTTCACTCTGTGTCCCCAGCACATCGCTTAGGGGGCAAGAAATAAGTCTTTGTGGAGTGAACGAATGATCCAGGTAAAATGAAGTAAGATAATGAGAATGAAGAGAATATTAAAAATGACAAAAGAGTAGTGGCAGAACTTGGGAACTGA